TCACAGATCGCAGCCCCCCAGGGATGGCGAGGTCCCATTTGAGTCCGCCGTGGGTGCCCACTGTGCTGGGCCCCCCAGCAGGCCTCGAAAGTGGCGACAGTTTCACAGATCGCAGCCCCCCAGGGATGGCGAGGTCCCATTTGAGTCCGCCGTGGGTACCCACTGTGCTGGGCCCCCCAGCAGGCCTCGAAAGTGGCGACAGTTTCACAGATCGCAGCCCCCCAGGGATGGCGAGGTCCCATTTGAGTCCGCCGTGGGTACCCACTGTGTTGGGCCCCACAGCAGGCCTCGAAAGTGGCGACAGTTTCACGGATCGCAGCCCCCCAGGTATGGCGAGGTCCCATTTGAGTCCGCCGTGGGTACCCACTGTGCTGGGCCCCACAGCAGGCTTCGAAAATGGCGACAGTTTCACAGATCGCAGCCCCCCAGGGATGGCGAGGTCCAATTTGAGTTCGCCGTGGGTACCCACTGCGCTGGGCCCCCCAGCAGGCTTCGAAAGTGGCGACAGTTTCACAGATCGCAGCCCCCCAGGGATGGCGAGGTGCAATTTCAATCCGCCGTGTGTACCCACTGTGCTGGGCCCCCCAGCAGGCCTCGAAAGTGGCGACAGTTTCACAGATCGCAGCGCCCCAGGGACGGCGAGGTGCAATTTCAATCCGCCGTGGGTACCCACTGTGCTGGGCCCCCCGGCAGGCTTCGAAAGTGGCCACAGTTTCACAGATCGCAGCCCCCCAGGGATGGCGAGGTCCCATTTGAGTCCGACGTGTGTGTGTGTGTGTGTACCCACTGTGCTGGGCCCCCCAGCAGTCCTCGAAAATGGCGACAGTTTCGCAGATCGCAGCCCCCCAGGGACGGCGAGGTGCAATTTCAATCCGCCGTGTGTACCCACTGTGCTGGGCCCCACAGCAGGCCTCGAAAGTGGCGACAGTTTCACTGATCGCAGCCCCCCATGGATGGCGAGGTGCAATTTCAATCCGCCGTGTGTACCCACTGCGCTGGGCCCCCCAGCAGGCCTCGAAAGTGGCGACAGTTTCACAGATCGCAGCCCCCCAGGGATGGTGAGGTGCAGTTTCAATCCGCCGTGTGTACCCACTGTGCTGGGCCCCCGGCAGGCCTCGAAAGTGGCCACAGTTTCACAGATCGCAGCCCCCCAGGGACGGCGAGGTGCAATTTCAATCCGCCGTGTGTACCCACTGTGCTGGGCCCCCCAGCAGGCCTCGAAAGTGGCGACAGTTTCACAGATCACAGCCCCCCAGCTGGCACGCAGCGACGAGCGAGGCAAAAGGCAAGGGGGAGGAGAGGGGCGGGAGGGAAGGAAGTAAGGAAGGAGACGCGCGAGCAGTGCTCTATTCAAAATGAGAACCCAGCGCAGGAGGGTTGGGAACAAACAGCTGAGGAAGAGAAAGGGGAATAAGCAGAGGAGAGACCCGAACTTCCGAACCGAGGATTAACTTCAGTTCGGCGGAGGTCTCGGGGTTGGCGGGGCCGGTAACGGGCGTTACTGCGAATGATGAAACAAGGAAGGAAACGAGTTGTTGCCAGTGTTCAGCAGCCCCCTGGCCCGAGCGGAGAACGGATCAATGAGGACGACGACGAGCAGCAGAGGGGCGAAAGGGAAGGAGGGAGAACGGATGGGGAGGAGGAGGAGGAGGAGGACAGGCAGGAAGGGGAGGAGGACAAGGATGACAGGGGGAAAAGGGAGGAGGAGGTAGAAGAGGAGGAGGAGGAGGAGGAGGAGGATGAGGAGGAGAGTCATCCTGACATGCGCCGGCGTCCCAAGTCCTTTCCTTATACGTTCGTACAGGCTTCCTTTGTCGCTACAAGAATGAAGTGTCCCTTTTGCAACACCGGTGACGACACCAGCACCCGATGAGCCTACCATTCAGGCGAAAGCTACGTCTGAAAAAGCAAGTGTTTTGCACCCTTGAAGAAAATAATCACGAATGGAAGGGACGGTATGATCATACAACAGTTCAACGAGGTGGTCAGCGGGATTTCCGCTCTGCTGAATAATCCCCTTTCCGTGAATAGTTGCACAAGCGGACGCTTTTGGCCATGAGCATCGAGGAGTCACAAACGACAGCCCCAATTTGAGAAGGAGCTACCTCCATCCGTGCAGCTGCTACATACGCATGTTGATGCGTTTGGTTGCCATGTTCATGAAGTCTCGAGCGAGAGGCCCATGTTGAAAAGGAATTGTCACCAATCCTGGTACCTGACGAAAGCCTCTAAGACGAATGCGCGCTTCGCTACGGCGAGAGCGCCACTGGTGGAACAGAACCGCCCTCCATCTTGGATGTTGCAAATGTGTAAGACGACTGCGCAAGGCGCTGAGGCGAGAGCCCGGCACTTCTGTTGCACCCTTGTAATTGCTGCAGGCTTTCAGGACGAATGCTCGCGGCGCTAAGGGGAGAACCCAACCTTGAACATGGGCCGCACTCCACCCTTGCAGCTCTTACAACATTTAGAAATAATGCGTGCGAGGGTAAGGTGGGAACCCCATTTTTTTGAAAACCGCCCGCCCTCAATCCTGGTGTAGTTCCTGAAATCTGCTATTATGCATGCGAGAGGTTCTAAGGCTCGAGCCCCATTTCCGAAACGACCTTTCATCCATCCGTGTACAAGTTGCGGATATTGTTGAGTTTCAAGGTCATAAGCGGCGGGGTAGACGCAGGCGAAACGCCTGGCTCGTCCCGACCGACATGTCTCGGGCTGCGCCAGGGAGGTGTCACAGACAAGGGAAAAGGATCGGAGGCAACGAGGAATCTGAGAGGAACGGAGGAAGAAGAGGAGCATGAGGGGGGAAGTTGCGCCACCGTTTGGCCCCCGTGTCCTGGGGGGAGCTGGACGGGGCCTGCCGGCTCGTCCGACCTCGCCGGCTTGAACCGTTGTCCTGCCACGCTCCCCTTCTCCTTCCTCCTCCTCCTCCTCCTCCTCCTCAGACTTTCGGACGGCGTTCGGCACTTCCGCTACGCTTGCCATCAAAAAAGCGTGCCGACCCGATGAACGGCAGGCGCTTCCGAGCGGCCCCGCTTCCGACGGCTCCAACTTCCCCCCGGGACACGAGGACCAAATGGTGGCGCAGCTTGATCTTTTGGGATTGGCGCGCGTTCCGACCCGAGGAACGGAAGGCGCTCGCGCGCGGCGCCGCTTCCGACGGCTTGGCCAGGGGCAGCGATAGGGGGGGGATAGACATCGGGGGGGGGTGCACCGACCCCCAATCGCCCGTTGGTCGCCGATGGGGTTCCCCGGCCTGCCCAGGAAGGTGCGGACTCACTATCGGGGGCCTACCGCCGATCTATCGGCGATGTATCGCCGATTCCAGGTCGATGCATCCCCCCCCGGTGCCTGTCCCCCCCTTTCGTTTCCCCCCACTTGGCGAGAGCACTGGTCGTCTCTCCCTCGCGCGGCCAGATTTCTGATGAGCACAGCGGAAGACCTCCTCCTCCTCCTCCTCCTTCTCCTCCTCCCCCCACTCCTTCTCCTCCTCCACCTCCTCCTCCTCCTCCTCCTCCTCCTCTTCTTCCTCCTCCTCCTCTCCCCGCTGCTCCTCCTCCTCCCCCTCCTCCTCCTCCTCCTCCTCCTCCTCCTCCTCCTCCTCGAAGCATGAGCCGCGCGCAAGCAGCGTCGCGCCAACTCTGCGTGGCATTCCGGCGGGAGCAACACTTCGCCCGCTCCCGCGCAGCCCCACTGCCGCCTCTCCCACGGCTCGGCGATCGGAAAATGTGCGCCGCGTCAGACCAGGAGCGCCACTGCCAGGCGAAGCACGCATAGGGCTCGGGCGATGACGATAATTCGCCTTCGCGCGCGCGCGCGCGCCTAGGGGGAGCCCCGCTTTCAGGCAGAATCTGGGTGACGCCGACGCGAGGGCGACATTTCGTCCGCTCCGGCGCGAGCCCAGTTGACGAGCTGGCGAGTGAAAATTACGCGCCGCGCCCAGGAGGCAGCCCCTTTTTCGCGCGATAGCTGGGTGGTGCCGAGGCGAAAGCGACATTTTGCCCGCTCGCACGCGACTCCGCTGTGGACGAATTGGCGAGATGAGCCCAAGCGGGAGCTCATTTCTTGGGAAACGTGAGCGCGGCGTGAGGCGATACGGTCGGACCGAGGTATAGGATCGAGGTCGGTTCGGGGAGGGCACCCGAGCGTTCTCCGTACTCGTTGCACGCTCTTGTGCATCCTGGAGCAGGGTACTCCAGATTTCGTAATAAAAGGGAGGGGGTCTGGACCCTCCAAGACAAGCCATTTCAGACCTCCCCCGTGGGAGAACCCTCCAAAACATCGTCCCCAGACCCCCTAGGCCCTCCAGGATAGCCTGGAAGAGACCCCCCCCGAAATGAGACCCCCCTCCCTTTATTACGAAATCTGGAGTGCCCTCGAATGCTCTTCTGTTTGGCAGGCGGAGGGTCTCGTGTTACTGAAGGGTGCTCTTCTATCCGTGGTCCGGCTGTACCGACACTGTGTCCTTTCGCGCGCGGTGTGCGTCCTGTCCCGCTGTGGCCACGCATCTTGCAGCGTCGACCACGAAGCGTCCATGCCGTGATTGGAAGTGCTGACTTCGTATCGCTTTTGGTGCGTAGGCCAGACCCCGCCTTTCTGGCCGTCTATCGGGCCGTTGGGTGATAGAGCGGGGGCATTCTAATCAGGAGTGAGCAAGGGCGCCCTCGATGGGCGCGAAGTTCTTCGCGTCTCGCGCTTCGCGGCTCGGCTCCGATTCCTCATCCTCCTCTTCTCCGCTGGGGGGCGGCGCGAAGCGCGAAGTTAGGCGCCCTTGGTGAGGAGGAGGAGGAGGAAGAGGAGGAGGAGGAGGCGGAGGAGGAGGAGGAGGCGGAGGAGGGGGATTAGGAGAAGGAGGCGGAGGAGGAGGATGAGGAGGAGGAGGCGGAGGAGGAGGAGGAGGAGGACGACGAGACGGAGGAATAGGAGGAGGCGGTGGAGGAGGAGGAGGGGGCGGAAGGGGAGGGAGGGAGGAGGAGGAAGAGGAGGGATCCTGGCCCGTGCAGGCTTCCATAGAGGCGAACCTGACCTCGAGCGGTCAGGGCGGCCACAGCCGCTTCAGCGGGGCGGAGCTGAGCGTGCCCGACGACGGGGACGACTGGTAGGTGCCGCTCGCGGGGCAGGGTGGGCCACTGGCGCCGTGCTCTCGTGCTCTTTCCCCCCCTTCTTCCATGGTGCTTCTCCCTCCATTCGCAGGTCTCCGGAGTGCCAGGGCGTCACTTTTCTGATGCTCCCGATTTGCGAGCCTCGATCCTCCTCTCCCTCTCCTCCTCTTCTCCCTCCCTGAACCTGGGTTCGGGAGGCTTGCGCCATTCCGACGGCCCCCCCTCTGAAGGTGGATGGGCAAATACAATGAGTTCGTGACCCGTACCCCCCGGAGTCCATCCAGACATGACTCCCGGGCGATCAGTCGGGAGGAGGGAATTCGATTATCATAAGACAAAGTCAGACATCCTCCCTTCTTCAACTCCTCCCTCCTCGTACCTCGACTTCATCTCCTCTCTCCTCGTTCCTCGACTTCTTCCACGACGCCGAGCTGCAGAACAAAATCGCCAGTGGGCGGCCGAGGTTCCAACTGCGGCATGCGCTCACCAATACCGATTCCCGCTAAAAATCAGATTGAGGGTCTTCGAAGGCTTGATAGCACCTTGTGTTGTGTACGGATGCCCATCTTGGATCTTGACGAAAGGCATGCATGCTTGTCACATGGCGGCGGACGCAGCAGAACATGCTTAGACTTGTCATCGGAACACCAAGCAGACGGACCGCGGCAGAACAGAACAGACAGACAACGAACGGTGACAGCATCACCAACCGCGCCGACAGCAACAACATCGACACCAGCAACCTCCCCAGCATCGACACTTGCACTGGGCAGCAAAGCTAAAACACATACAGCGACGACGAAATGTAATCAGTTGCTCATTTCCTGATGAGAAGTGGTTCCGCCGCTGTGGCGCTTGCGAGTAGTGCGCAAGTCGACAACTTAGCAAATATGTGCACCTTGAACGCACATGCATTTTGCACCGCGAATCGCTAAGCACTGCGTCGACAGATGGACGTGACTCAGCGCGAGCTGAGATTTAAGCTTACACGACTCACGACAATCCTTTCGAAGACAAGGTTGGCAAAGAAACTCTCGGGATAACGAATTTGCGTATTTGCAGAGTGAAGCAAGTAACGACGACGACGCACAGTGGTGGGAATTGGCAAAGAGCCAACAATGGTGCTATCATCGTGGACGATACGTTCTGCAAAGTATGCGTCAAATTATGGATTCTGGCAGCTGTTTCCACGCGACTTTTGAATATTCTGACCCCCACGTTGGATCCACTCTACATGGATGTACCGAACTGCTACGCAGCAGCCTCTTTTACTTCGGCTTCTTCGACTCGGGCTCACTCACTCTTCCCCTTTCCTTCACATCCATCTAACAACTTGTAGCCCCCACGTGCTCTGTTCATTACTTCACTTCTAGCCCCAAGCATCCGACGTACCACGTCCACTTCCGCCTATCGACCTCCAGCTTCCGCTAGTTCATCACCCAGAACCTCGAGCCTCCAATATCCGATCTTCCACTTCCGCCTCCACCTTTCGACCTCCAGCATCCACCAGTTCAGCACTCCGACATCTTACTCCAAGCATCCGACTTTTTCACTTTCACCTCCACCTCCACCTATCGACGTCCAGCCTCCACGTGCTCAGCACTCCGACCTCCGGCCTCCAGCGTCGACGTATCGCGTCCAGGTTTCAGCATTCCGACCTCCAGCCTCCAACATCCGACGTCCCATTTCCACCTCCACCTGTCGATCTTCAGCATCCGCTAACCAAGCACTGCGACCTCCAGTCTCCAGCGTCCGACATCTCACCCCCACCTGCAGGTATCGACCCCCAGCCTACACCTCCTCTTGAGCCTCCAGCGTCCTAGTGATGGTGGTGATGGTGATAGTGACGGAGGATGAGGATGAGGATGAGGACGATGGTGACGGTGATGGTGATGGTGGTGATGGTGGTGATGGTGATGATGATGATGGTGATGATGAGGAGGATGATGATCATGATGCTCATGATGATGATGGTGACGATGATGGTGGTGGTGGTGAGGATGATGATGCTGATGATGATGATAATAATGTTGACGACGATGATGATGCTGCTGCTGATGATGATGCTGATGCTGCTGCTGATGATGATGATGCTGATGTTGATGATGATGACGATGATGACAATGATCATGATGATACCGATGATGATGATGATGATGATGATGATGATGATGATGATGATGATGATGATGATGATGAAGATGACGATGATGATTATGATGATGATGCTGATGATAATGATGATGATATGATGAGGATGAGGATGAGGAGGATGATGATGAGGAGGAGAATGAGGATGATGGTGATGGTGATGGTGGTGGTGGTGGTGGTGGTGATGGTGACGAAGATGATGATGATGATGATGATGATGATGATGATGATGATGATGATGATGATGATGATGATGATGATGATGATGATGATGACGATGAGATAGATGATGCTGAATGATGATGATGATGATGATGATGATGATGATGATGATGATGATGATGATGATGATGATGATGATGATGATGATGATGATGAGGATGAGGATGAGGATGAGGATGAGGATGAGGATGAGGATGAGGATGAGGATGATGATGATGAGGAGGAGGAGGAGGAGGAGGAGGAGGAAGGAACGAGAGAGAGAGAGAGATCGAGCAAGAGCTGGTCCGTCCAGAACCGCGCTGCCAGGGACAAGAAGGCTGGCAAGGGCAAGGAGCCCAAGGGTAAGGGCAAGAAAGGCAAGAAGGCCGGCTAGAAGGAGAAGAGGCCGCGCAGGGACTGTGCAGCCGAAGACGACTGGCCCGCTCCAGGGAGTATCCTGGCAGAGACCCCTGGGCTGGATGTGTGCCGTCTGTGTTATGAGGTGGGGCACTGGTGCAACCAGCGCACATACTACTACGCAGGCGGGAGTGCGCGCGACGGCGACTAGGACAATCGGCCGGCGCGGGCCGGCGGCGGCGGCGAAGAGGCAGTGCCTCGAGGTGGGGCGGAGATCCCAGGCAGGAGGGAGCGGCTCGCAGCATCATCGGGGCGGAGCTCCCGGAGACGGCCGCTCGTGGCCCACAGCATCCTCCGCGTGAGAGGACCACCAGCGTCAGACGGGACGGAGCTTCCGCTGACGGCCACTCTCGGCCTACATCTTCCTCCGTGGGAGGATCAACGTCGTCGGGACGGAGTTTTCGCAGCTAGGCACTCTTGCCCTCCGCTTTTCCCCCCCCGGGGAAGGAGACCATGTCAGTACCTCTGGGACGGAGCTCCCGCAGACGGCCAATCTTGGCCATCGTCGTTCTCGGAGGGAGGACCACGAGTGTGACGCCCGCTCACGGCGCAAGCGGGCGGAGCACGGGGAGGTCGAGCAGGGGAGTTGATGTGGGGCAGCAGCGCTGAAGGTCTTTTCTGGGCTGGCGTTCCCAAAGCTGTCGGCCAAGAGTGGACGGATCTGTCTCGTTCAGGCCTCTTCTCCTCAAGCACGTGCTACAAGGATGAGGGCATCTCGTGAGACGGCCATTGAAGATCATGCAGCTCAGTCTGCTTCAGCGCCTTCATCCTCCGGTTCAGGGCTACCCTCGTGGGCCTCTACATCATAGCTCAATGTGGTCCACTCGCCCTCTTCTTCTTCAGCGTTGAAGATCGTCGCTGCTATCTGCCCCTGGTCCCTCTCCCCCGCCGCTTTTTCGGCATAAGCCCTCCCGACGAGATGTCGGAGGGAGGGCTTAGCCTTCTGACCGGCCCCAGCGCGAGGCCTGAGTACGCGTGGTGAAAAAGATCATCATATCGACGCAATGTGATAGGAAGGCTGGAGAGGAGGAGAGAACGGGCAGGCATGAGGAGTTAGTAGAGGGTGGAGGGAGGGGGACTGACGGATGGAGAAGGGGCGATGCAGGAAGAGACAAGAGGAACGCCAAAGCAGGCGGATGAGGAGGAGGGAGGGCGAGCAGGAGGGGAGACGATGAGGATGAGGGACGGCACTGAGGATTCACGAGGAGGAGGAGGAGGAGGAGGAGGAGGAGGAGGAGGATAATGACGAGGAGGAGGAGGAGGAGGATACGGAGGTGGAGCTGGTGGAGCTGATAGCCCCGAGCGGGGCGGAAGGACCGCGGCACACACGGCGACACAGGGCTCGGGCGCGCTGCCCGCGACGGCGCGGCGCCTGAAAAATAAGAGGGCGCTGCCGACGACGGTGAGGAACGGAGCAGCAGCGTGCGAAGCAGGCGTAGAGTGGAGACCCATGCCAAGAAACACCCTGCTCGCCTCCAGGTTGCCCAGGGGTTCTTGGGTTTTGATGGTTCTGCCGCGGAAGGCGTGAGGTTCCTACAACGAAAATCAGTGGACGTCCTGGGATCTCAGGGTCGGGTTTCGTGTGGGAGGCTTCTTGTGGACTGGCCTCCATTGTAAGTCGGGTGGGAGAGGTCAGTGGGGCAAATCAGGCGCGCTCGCAGCACACCTGGCGCCCTCCAACTTCCACACCATCCCGTCTCGTTGCGTATACTGTATACTCCCTCTGCGCTGTCAGGATGGGGCGTCGGATACGGTATTGATGTTTGGCCCGTCGTCGATTGCAAAATGGGAGGCGGGGCAAGATCGGGCAAGTCAGGATGTGTGCGATGTAAGAAAGCGGAGAGCAGCAGGATAACTGCAAACATGGAGGGGAGGAGGAATGGGAAGCGGAGAGGGGGGAGAAGGAGGAGGAGGCATGATGCATGCGGCATGAACATGGCGACCAGGAGGAGGACTACGACGACGAGGGGGAGGAGGAGAAGGGGAGAGGAGAAAGAGGAGGACAAGATGCCAGAGGAGGAGATGGGGGACACGACAACAACGACGATGAGATCGGTCGGGTCCAGGCTTTGCCATCCAGCGCGAACCAAAGCCTGGTGCCTGGCCGCGGTTCGAGACCCGAAGAAGGACGTCGTCGGGGGAAACGGGAAGTAGCAGCACAAGCCCCAAGGGGTCACTACCAGGGGGCAGGAGTGTGGCAGGCGCCGTGGCGAGAGAGCCCTCCTGAACGA